ATCAACGCGATAGCTAGAATCATGCCGAACAATGCTGGTCCCAGCAGTAGCAAGAGGTGTCTTCTGGTCAGTGTGTCGTCGTCGATACTGAGGTATGGAGGTCCAGCCTGAGTTGAAGCTGGAAACAAAGCAGAACCAAAGGAAACCGAGCAGTACGTTCCGGCTCATGACCATGCAAGTCATGAGTGCGTACAGAACCATGTCATCGGAAGCAGCAGTATGCGTTATCGCCGGAATGATCCCTATCGGCAACAGGAGTGAAACACGGCGGAGAATGGTAGATGGACTCTTCGACCTTGGTCAACAGAAAACAAGGAGACATCAACTACCACCTAACGCAGTTCCTGTCTGGCCACGGCTGCTTCAGGAAGTACCTGCATCGGTTCGGACACGAAGCGTCACCCCTCGTTCGGCGTGGACAACGTGGATGAAACGCAGGAGCATGTGATCTTCGACTGTCAAAGGTTCGAGGCAGTGCGATGGGAGATGTGTCGAGAGGAAGGCACTTGGAATGCCGTCAGCAGCTGCAGCGAAAATGGAGAGAGGAGCAGCGATCTAGCAACACCAGAACATCCGATGAATATTGACGAGATGCCGCTTCAAGTTGAATATCGTGTCCAATCTGAATGTTTTTTTTTTAAATTTCCGAGGAGACAAGCATAGATTCACCTCAGAGAATGATATCTCTCGTACCCGGGTGATTCTCCCCAGAGAATTTTCAACCCTGAGTTCAGCAGAACTAACTTGAAAGGAATCTTTAGGTTTCACTTCAAGTTTTCCTAACAATTCTTCCTCTGAAATTCTGCTCTGAATTCCCTTGAAATTATCCCTAGAGTTCGTTGGAAATTCACATCAAATTCATTCATTAAAGACCATAAGCTTGTAAAAGTTAAAAGACAATTACATATTTATTTATTTTTTTTAATCTGGGGTTTTGGAAAGTATTTAATGTTCGACGTCTTGTATAGATCATTTCCGGAGATGAACTAGTCAAAGACTAAAAATCTAAAAAAAAAAACCTTCTGATTTGAATGAAACATTGCTCATATGTTCGCTGCTACCAATGGTTTGTAACTTTTATAAAGGGAGTATTCAAAAAATGGATTCTATTTTTTCAAAAAATCATTACAAGGAACTCAGAATACACGAAATTACACTTTTAGATACCAGGTGAATCTTTGTCTTTGACGAAAAAATGAATGAGATTTTGACGAAGGTTAATAACAGTGACAAACCTTAGCACTGGTTGTAGGTAATTAAATGTTCTTTGAGAAAAAAGTACCCTAAACAAAAAAAAACTCAGTAAATTTTTGAAAAAAGTTTATATGTGTCAATTTATCAAAAAATATGCGTAGAGTCCAAATAAATTATTATTGAACTAAGAAATATGTAATATCGTTATATTTTGAAAATCAAAAAAAAAAAATATAGCAAGTTACCAGCTACCAAATTTCAGGGTAGTACTTCAGCTTTCTTTACACAAAAAATATAAAAATCGAAAGGGGTGTTTTGAGAAAATAAACGTTTTATCTCTTTTTCAGGGTGTCGGCTCAAAGAAGATAACCAATTTCTCTGATATTATCTGATTTTCCAGTAGATTAAAAAAAATCCAGATGTAGTGCCTATCCGTTTTTGGCAACACTCATCAGCTATTGCTTTACTCAGATGTCTCGCGTAACATTTGAAAAGGGCCTATGTCCAAAATGTAAACAAACCGATTTTTGATACCATTCTGTAGCACTGGTAATTAGCTACCAGTCGTATAGGAATGTTCCGCATTATCGATAAAAATCATTAAAAATAACTTGATTTTAAAAACGGCCGATCCACCAAATTTTTCCAATCATTCATGCTAAAACGGCCTAACCTCGGGCCTAACATATATTTTTTTTCGTTCGATGAGGTTCCATTCATAAGCCTAGCGACGTAGAAGGGCCGATGATTGAAAAATTTCAAATCAAAGCTAAGCCCTACTGCTTGAGGCAGGGCCGATGATTTATTTGACGTTAAGGAAAGGCTTAGCAAAGGGCCTACAATTTATGATGACAAGCACAACGGCTTAACAAAAAGGGCCTAACCATTTAAAGATTCACAAAAAGGCTTATTACTGTGATATTAAATTTTTATCGATTTTCATGTATTTTTGAAAACGTTTCGCATGTTTTGGATGTTGTGTACTGAGATATAGTTACTATTGTTATTGTGAGCAATATAAATGCCTAAAATACTTCAATCTATTTATATAGGAATTAAATACTGGCGGAAAAATTTACAATTCATTTTCTGGATTGTTTACATTTTGGACATAGGCCCTTTTCAAATGTTACGCGAGATGTGTACTAGTGTTTTCTGGACATTTTTTCATGAAATAGCCCATGGACTTCTAATCCATGAAGAATGAGCCAGTACAGTCTGAAATTGAATAAAGCGGTCGATATCACGTGTTGTCTAAGTTCAAGCAGTAACCGGGATGTTACTATGATTGACAGCGATGTGTGAAGGAAACTGCAACCATCTCGATATCAATCCACAAAAAAATGCTTGCTTAATCGCATAATGTTTTCAGCAAGTTCCGTGATCCATTTCTTACCTCGATTTACTCCAGGATACGAGAAAAGGTCCTTGGAATGGACATTTTCTTATCCTTAGAAGTTCTTCTCTAACTGTTTCCGAATTCCACGCTAGGGATCGACATTCAATCAGTTGCCCTACACCTTGCATATGAAACACTTGTCTTGTAATCCCATTATAATTTTATTTTTCTTTGACCATGTTGAGACCCAGCTTCGTAAGAAAATTATTAAACGCTTAACCAAACGCTAATTCACAGCCGTATTTTTCCGAGCTAACCAGGTTTACAAAATGCATGAATGACGTAGTTTTAATGTGACCTCCCTAACGACTTTTACTGAGGTGTGCTTTAATTATAGATTGTTTAGCTTTTGTATGTTTAGTTAATGTTAATGCTCAATATTTAAAATCTTTGATTCTTACTAGATCAGTAGCTGTTCCGTATATCTGCCAAAATACAGGTATTCTATAACGTAACCGACCTTGTTCACTTCTACCATTGAAGTTGACCTTTCTATACATATTTATTTCACTCATCCTATTCCTTTGGGGGTACAATATTTGAAGATTCTGGGTGAAACAGCTATTAAGAGACGCTAGTTTGCAACTTTAATTACACCGAGTAATTAAGTTGTTTGAAACTAGCGAGGTCAGTCATACTTATTAATAAGTTTCAGTGATTAAGAAATATTTTCCTGAATTTGAATGAAATTCCTTGAGATTTCCTAGCAGAGCGTGCATTTCGCTTCAACATCTTAGACCGAGGTGGAACTGAAACTGGTCGCAGAGGGAGCACATTCGTCGTTACATTCATCATTGTCGTCTTTGGAAAAGTTCTCTTGTCGACATCCAAGAACTTCAACTAGTTGCTCGATGTCCAAATAGCATAGGTATCGGTTGATCAAATATACCGCCATGGAAAGTGCCTCTGCCCAAGGGATATTTGGGAGTCTAGACCTAGAGCGGGCACCTTTTCTACGATTGTTCAAAATTAAAGAGAATCGATTTCCACCGTAAAAGTTCACATCCATCTGCTGAGCTGAGTGAACTAACTCTAGAATCTCCACAGCTCACGTTCCGTTTGACCCAATTGGTAGCCTAGTCTGCTTATCCATCGGACAGATGCGACAATCCTTTATATTCTTCTCACCAACCTTCATGCCTTCAGCAAACTTCTTGGCATTTGTTATGCTGTGGTGTCTCATTCGATGCAGGTTACCTTCCTGACTGAATTTATCGGATCTTAACTGATTAGATCGCGCTTAAATTAGATTTTTCAATGGCCTACCCATGTAGAACTTTATCCGTCGCATAGGAGCCTCTCGCCTTTGAGTCAAGATTTCTTATTTGCTTGATCTTGGTCAAATCGAATCTCAACCATCGCTTAGGCGTCTCTCCCCTTCAAGGTAAGACTTCTCAATTGCCTGACCCGATCAGGTGTTATTCATCGAGAATACATATAGCCTATAATTTCGCTTTAATCGCAGAATGACATTTTAGTTTAATTCTGTTATAGCATTCGCAATGGATTTTTGCCCGTCGTCAAAGTGGTATTTCGTGATGAAATCCTAAACTCGATTTGACAACCTAAAAAAATATCCTTTTAATGAATCATACAAAGCAATGGTTATTTAAGACTAGATCCACCACATGGATCATAGTGAAACACGTCCAGTCCAGTGGATTGCGACGCGATGGCGATCATCATATATCCTCCGGAAAACCACTTGCTTCTACAAGTCGTTGTCAGACATTCTTGGTTTCGTTGAGAAACGAATAGCGTTATAGGACCTGAGCTAACTTCAGTCCATTGGTCTTCCGAGAATAGCGTCATCCGCAGACTTAGTTGATTATAAGCCTAAATTAATTAATTTTTTACATATATGAAGGGTTGACCGTTGGCAAATCACCCGACAATGCTGTCGATTAGTTTTCTCTTCTGCAGTTCGAATCTAAATGAATCTCTTGTAAGCTATCAAGAAATGCGGTTCATAAAAGCTTAACCGACCTGATTATTCTTTACCTCATAAAAACTTTTTTTTTTTTTAACAAAGTTTCAACCCTCACCCATAAAAATCAGTTATATGCCTATATATTTCTTAAAAAAATATTGAGCCTAACTTATGCAAAATACGCAATAATATTATCTATTATTAATATGAAAATACTTGTGGACAAAATGATCAAACTACCAACCTATTACCAGTTGCAGAAATTGTTAAATTTAACTAATTTTTCCTTACAATATCAGCTAAAACATTAATGTTCCAAACGAAGAAAATCCTAATTCAACTGAAATCCGACAAAAAATCTAAGCCCTCATCATTATTATTGTAAAAGAAAACCCCTAATTTTCAAAGATGGCTAACGCACACACCTAAACACGCACATTCTACAATGTACAATACAATTGGCTACACAACACTTACATGACCCCAGCAGATTCAGAAACCCCGAGCAAACATCGCACATTTTTCCGCACCGGGTTGACTCTCCGACTTCTGTTGGGGGCTCAAGCGGCAGCAAATCACGGGAAGTTGCTTCTCCGGCTGCGCTTCCTGTTGCTGCTTGTATTTTCTTCTTCTGCTGCTGCTGCTGCTGCCCACCGGCACTTCCAAAAACTTATCCCACAAGGGACAACGACGACAACACACCACCAAAATATTCCACAACAGTCTTTTCTCTTCTTGTTGATATGAACTTCGGATTCCGCACACTCGCCCAACCGACCGATCGAGTGCAAGCAGCGGCAGGGGTGGGATGCCTCCTTCTTGTTCTTCTTGGGTTCGTAGCGTTGCACACAAAACACACACTTGCGACTTGCACACGCACACCACCGTAAATTCCTGCGGCGATGGCTGGCTGGCTGGCACTGGCAGTCAGCCCTAGCAGTATTCTTTCTTTCTGTCTCTCGACCCGTGGAAAAGAAAAAAAAAACTTCAGGAGGTTCTTTCTCCCGACGACGAAAGAAGGGCACTTTTCTCAGCCAAATCGATCACGTTCAACGGTGCGACAACCGAAACCGAACGGGGAAAACCGTAGCCAACATTTCGCGACTAGCGACGGGTGATTTTTAGCACAGGAAATCGGTGAAAAATGTGTTGGGATTTTTTTTCCTCAGCCCTAATCTTTCGCTTCAGCAGGATTGTGTGTGGCTCTTCTCTCACTACTCGGCTGCTACTTTTCGCGACGTATTCGCTTTTGTGTGTGAACTCGGCTCCGCGACGGTCGTTTTCGTCGTCGTCGCGGGTTTGACAGTTGGGGTTGCCGCATATCGCCGTCTTCGACCGGGGGGTTAGGAGATGGTGCGATTGGTACGGTGGTGTTCAGAATCCATCTTCTTCCTTAAGGGGAAGTTCACCGTTCCGAAAAAAATAATTATGATTTGATTTTTTCTAATTTTTCAAAGAAATTTCACGTGCAAAAACATTTTTTATAAGTCATTATGGCATAAAGTTGGACTCAAAAAACCATAAAACTTAACGGTACACAGAGGGAAATATGGGGATGCGGATGACGATCCACCTTCAGATTCACACTCAATTATAATTCAATCAGGAATTCAATGAAACTTGTCCATGAAGTCACAAACCTGTACTAATCTGCTCAATAGAAAAGAAAACACTTCTCTGTTCTGACCGAGCATGAGTTTGCTGATTTTATCTAAAGTTCTCAGAATATTACTAAAATTTGAATTTTAATTATGTTTTCCGATCTTTTCTAAAGTTTACTGATGTTCTCTGAAGTTATCATAATATTCCTGAAATTTTCTGATCTTCTCTTAAGTTTTCATAATTTTCCTGATTTTTGCTGATTTTCTCTGAAGTTCTTAGAATGTTTCTGACATTTTCTGATCTTCTCAAACCAGGGGGTAAGTCACTCTGTCACCTTGTGACTGTGCTGATTGTGTTTCTTGTGTGTTTTTGGGTGTTTCAGGGTGTTTCTATGTCGAACGAGCTGTTAAAACGTCAAGGGGCAACATACAATGTTTACTGGCAGCCATGACTTCCACATCGCTGAAAACGACAGATCCCCCTTCGTCGTTGTTTATTGGCGTTGACGGTGACTCTGTATACAACTATAGCTCTTTACTCCTATGGTAAAATCCAATAAGCAAACGACAGTCTGTGCGTGATACTTGGCGGAATTTGTTTGTACTATCCTTTCACTGACCCGAAAATTCCCATAAGATACCCATAAGTCGTAAAAGAAGAGACGATTTTTCGACAGTGTCATCGGCGCCAATTTTTCGGAATAAAACAACGGACAGGAGGATTATTTAATCCCAACAATACTACCAACAATCAATACGAAACTAACGATTTTAAATTGGCTCATTACTTTAGTAGCCTATTGGTCCCAAGCAAACGATTAACGTACCCTATTCTAGTTTAAATTCTATTACTACACTATGTTTGTTTTGATTCGCTATGAAAGTTTGACAGATAACATCAGGGGTGTGTGGATTCATGCAGAACATGCAGGGGTGAGTGAAATAGCTTGGGACTGCTTGGGACCGTTGTTCTGGTACTGAGTGAGCCAAAAATAATAATGATTTTCTTCGGGACCCAGTGGTCTTAGAGTTACCTCTACACAGCAAAAAAAGTTGTTGAATATTACATCGAAACTGCTGCAACCAGGTCAATCCATCGGTTGTATAATATCACATTGTACGATGTACATCGATTTTGCGAACAAAATTACATCCATTGATGTAATATTGTATCTGCTTTTTGCTATTACATCATTATTTCATACATCAGCTTGAATTACGTTGATCGATATTACATTTTTTTTTGCTGTGTATGATACTACCAACAATCAATACGAAACTAACGATTTTAAATTGGCTCACCACTTTAGTAGCCTATTGGTCCCAAGCAAACGATTAACGTACCCTATTCTAGTTGAAATTCTATTACTACACTATGTTTGTTTTGATTCGCTATGAAAGTTTGACAGATAACATCAGGGGTGTGTGGATTCATGCAGAACATGCAGGGGTGAGTGAAATAGCTTGGGACTGCTTGGGACCGTTGTTCTGGTACTGAGTGAGCCAAAAATAATAATGATTTTCTTCGGGACCCAGTGGTCTTAGAGTTACCTCTATGATACTACCATAGAGGTAACTATAAGACCACTGGGTCCCGAAGAAAATCATTATTATTTTTGGCTCACTCAGTACCAGAACAACGGTCCCAAGCAGTCCCAAGCTATTTCACTCACCCCTTTACGTCTGTGGTTTGGTTATCAATATTTTTTTTATTTTTCAATATAAAAGCATAAAACCGAAATTAAAAACGCAATGTATTAAAATATGCTAAGGTTTCCTCAGACAAAAACCCGCTACTCGTTGGACCCACGACGTGCTTGACGTAGTTGTCTATGTCCTGCTCTATTTCAGGGCTCAAGTTGACCGCACCGGTAAATTCAATGGAGTAAAAAATACCCTTAACTATTTAAACCGAATTTAAAAACAATCACCCGAGATGAAGAGCTTTGAGTGTGTTGGTTTATTTCCTTTCAATTCCGTTATAATTTCTTATCTTTTGACAGATACACGTATTTCGTCTACTACTTGCAGACTTCATCAGTGCCAAGTACTCAACACCTAGGCACTGATGGAGTCTGCAAGTAGTAGACGAAATACGCGTATCTGTCAAAAGATAAGCAATTTTAACGGAATTAAAATGAAATAAACCAACACACTCAAAGCTCTTCATAAAGGGATTCCGTTAAGAGGTTGCGAAATTTAGATCCAGAGAAAGCTTCGAATCACGCTCGGCTCAGTTAGGTCGATTACGACTAGTGTTCGTTTGAGTAGATTCGAGGGAACTTTACTGGTTTGAGCCAGGATATCAAGCATGCATGACATGAGAATTGAGGGAGTACTTTCTGATATCGGAGTGAACCTCCAGGCAGAGATATTCGACACACTCGTTTAGGTAGATGATGTGGATGACGATCAACGCAGGGATGAGAATTTGAATTCCTGCAAGTTTTTTTTAGACGTGTGCATAATTAAGGCGTCATTACTTAATGACATCCACCTTCAGATTCAGACTCAATTATAATTCAATGAAACTTATCCATTAAGTCACAATCCTGTAATAATCTACTCAATAGAATAGGGATAACACTTCTCTGTTCTGGCCGAGCATAAGTTTGCTGATTTTATCTAAAGATTCCTGGTCTTCTCTAAAGTTCTCAGAATATTAATAAAATTTGAATTTTAATTAAGTTTTTCGATCTTTTCTAAAGTTTGCTGATGTTCTCTGAAGTTATCAGAAATGGTTTTAAGTTTGGTGATTTTCTCTAAACTTATCAGAATATTCCTGAAATCTTCTGATCTTCTCTTAAGTTCTCATAATTTTCCTGATTTTCTCTGAAGTTCTTAGAATTTTTCTGAAGTTTGCTGATCTTCTCAAACGTTCTCTGAATTTTCCTGAAGTTTTCTGATTTTCTCTGAAGTTATTAGAATATTCCTGGACATTTATGATCATCTCTAAAATTTTCAGAATTTTCTTGAAGTTCGCCGATTTTTTTTAAGCTCTCAGAATTTTTCTGAAGTATGCTGATTTTCTCTGAGAATTCCTATAGTATTCTTTAAAGTTTTCAGAAAATTTCTGAAGTTCGCTATTTTTCTATAAGGTTCTCAGAATTGTCCTGAAGCATGTTGATCTTCTTTGAAGTTCATAGAATTTTCATTATATTTTCTGTTATTTTCTAAAGTTTTCAGCATTTATCTTAAGTTCGTTGATTTTCACTGAAATTATCAGAATATTTCTAAAGTTCTCAGAAAATTTCTGTAATTCTCTGAAAAAGAACTTAAAGCGAATTCTGAGAACTTCAGAGATGATCAGCCAGCAATCTTTCTGCACACAAAAAACAAAAATTGTTGCTTTAAGAATAATGCATGATCAAATTAAAAGTTTCCCAAATTTCGTAGTTTCAACTATGAAATTTTTCAAATGTAAAATAATTTTTTTGATTAGAAAGTGTTTCTTTCACTTTCGGCTTGTAATTTTAAAAGTCTATTTTTTAGAATAAAAGTTGTAAAATTGTCAAAAAATCTCTTCCTTGCGATGTGTTTGACAGTACTGGACCTGTATTTCCCGCCAAATTGGACATGCGAAACAAACAAACAAAACAAAAACAGCTGTGAAAATTAGCATGAGCAGCAGCAGTTTCTTGAACTTTTCCACATTTTCATCCACCGGTGCGCTTGTTTTTCTTCTGTAAGATACAAATAATAAGATGGAGACATTCGTGGTGACGATATGAAGTGGAAGGATTGGAAGGATCCTCCAGCTGCGGGATTTGGAGGTAAGATGATGAAATTTTCGAAGAGTTTGCTTGGTTCCGATTTTCCTAATTGATGTGTTTTGATTTTCAGCAGCCTCGTCAGAATTGCCGGAAAGGAAGGCTACTCCCACCATCACCATCACCAGCTGTTCAGCCAACTGTATATTTGCGTAATACGCTTCCCATGCTTTGAAGTTCCATAATGCCGTGCCCTTTCAGTCAGCATCATATAAATAAACTAAAATATATCAAATTAAATATTTCTATGCTTTATTTCTTTCAAAGTAAAAAGCAACTGAATTAAAAAGAATTCATATTTGAAATGAAAACATAAATCATTGCGATAAAACTGCCCATCTTTTAAATTAAATCCTTTCATAAGTCTATTTAAAAAAATAGGTTTTCATATTGACAGTTCTACAATTCGATTTGAAAGTTTCAACTTTTAAAAGTAAAAAACGAGCTACTTTTGAATTAACAGTTAGCTGACTTTTGTTTTGAAAGCTAAAGACTTTCTACCAAAAAGAACCAACGGAAACTTTTAATTCTACCAATGGATTTTTCAATTTTACTAACGATAATTTTTTGTGTGTGAGAACTTCTGAAAAGATTCAAACGTCAGGAAAATTCTGAGATCTTCAGAAAAGTTCATGGCAGTAAACTTCAGAAAAATTGAGAGGATTGAGATAAGTTTAGCAATCTTTAGCAAAGTTCAGCAATCCTCAGGGGAGTTCAGTGAACTTCGGAGATGTTGAGCAAACTTCAGGAAATTTTGCGAACTTTAGAGAAGTTATGAAAATTTCCGAGAAATACAGCGAACTGCAGAAAAGTTCAGCAAACTCTTGGGAAGTTCTGAATATTTCAATAAACTTAAAGTGCTTCAACGAGACTCAGAGTAGTTTAGCCAACTACCCAACAAACAATTTCAGCTGCAGATTAGCTTATACAGCCAAAATTTTCCTTATGCAGCTAATTTTTGCCTGTATAAGCTAAGCTGCAGCTAAAATTGTTTGTTGGGTATAAAGGACTTCAGAGAACTTTATTTTCCCGTCTGGCGATAACAGGATCAATAATGGCTCAAAACATACCCAACCTAGATTGCCCTAAGATGAATATTGCACATGAAACTAGCCAATACTGGCTCTTGGAAGTATCACAGTGTTGAGCCCAGTGTTATTTAGTTTATAAACAAATATAGATTTTATGCAGGATTTTATGGTTGCTAGTGAGCAATTTTTTTTTAAATTAATTATTTATAGTCACTTTAACACTCCTTGGTCATTCGTGACTTGTCCGGGGGTGAGATTTGAACTCGTGACTTTGGCGTGAGAGGTATGGATGTTAACCACTACGCCGGAGTCGCATTTATTTTCGCTTCACGTTTTGAAAGCTAGGTCGACATGCAGAAACACCTTCCGACACGCAAAAACACACAAGAAACACTGTTCGGCACGGATGGCAGAGGAGTTAAAACAAGCAATCCCGAGCTTTGTTTAATCACGCGAAGGTTTACTTACCACGCCAAACGGTTTGGATGGTACGCCGTTGCCCTGCGGAACTGCTGGAGCGAGTGTCTTTTTTCTCGATTCTATCAAAAAACTGTTCAAGACGCTAAGACAGTTACTCTACTAAATTAAGAGACTGTTAAGGCCCACGCACATTAGATCCGGATCGGACGCGTTGCGGCAAAGTGACAGCTAAATCTATTGTCTTACTGTCAAATTTACGTCAACGCAACGCAAACGGATCTAATGTGGGTGGCCCTTTACAATAGCGTGGTTGAGAATTTGATAGAAAGAAAAGGAGTGCCTTTAGCATAAGGTGTTTGGACTTTGTTTGTAGACTGAGGACTGAACTTCTCACTAAATTAGAGATTCTGGTATCATCAGTAATCTTAGTTTAACACCTGATGAAGGTACTGGCTGGAAGGAATTCGGATCTTAACAGATCAACAGACGTTTTAAGACTAACGAAAACATTCGATTTATTAAGTAGAAAATTTGCCTTATATAGGGGTTTGAGATTAGAAAGATTTGTCTCCTGCTAAGATCTTCCAAACGTAATGTTGATTAGAACGAAAGAGACAGAGAGTATTCCTAATCTAAACTTATCCATCGTTCTCCTTCAAGATCATGTGAGGCATTTCGGGACCAACCGAGGTCGCCCCATATCTAAATCTCAATTTAAGATGCTCAACAAATCTCACACTAGCGAATCATTTTTCATAAAATCTTCTTGCATTTCTCGCATCTACTTGCATCGCGCATCATCTTTTTGCAGGAAATCTTCAAAATCGTCATCAATCGTCTTTCTATCTACTCACCCTGTGAGCAGCTAGCCACAGCAAAACAATCTTTCCTGCAGCGTAGATAGAGTCGCCCCCCTCGGGACCAACGCAATCCTTCCAGAATAATCTCGTATGTATGCATAGATGCACTTGACTCCTACGCTGCGCTTATACCTAAGCTAAACTGGTGCAAGCGAATAGTTTCCCTATGCAGAGTTTTATTGCTTTGTTTTATGCTGCGTGCATCCGTTGGGTAAATCCTATGGTACAAACGAGAGCGTATATAGCGCTTATGCATTCTCTTATTACTCTTGACCTGGTACTTTGTGTCATTTTCGATGCTCTCGTATTCATTGAACCTGGCTAAGCAGAAGGGATGATAAACAGAACAGCTGTTTATATTTGACTTTGAACTTTTACTTCTTTGCATCGTCTTGGGTGATTCGAGAACGTTCTTCAATTATTGCTAATTTATAGCATTCTCAACAAACACAATCAACACAGGCACAAGGTGGCAGTGTAACTTACCATCTGTGCAAATCTTACCACAAAAACACTTGCATATTATGAGGCCGAAGATATTCATATAAAAATCATACTAAATCTATGTGATCGCATGAACGTTATGCGAAATTCTGATGAATTTCATTAATGTTGATTATTCTCCGTTTAAGCGATGATGCGACATCAGCCCTTGCGAATGCTCACTGTCAATTTCATTTGAAACTGAAATATTTCAACTCTGTTTACATTCAGCGTCGTCCCTGGGGTTCGACTCTGTTCATCAGCTGCCAGCCATTGTTTTGACAGCTCCGATTCAGCAGCAGCGCAGTCGCGAACGCGGATAATAAGAAGAAAAGAAAGCTCCGCAGTGTTTTTTTTCTCCATCAGTCCGTGCGAATAATCTTCCACCGTCGCATGCATATTCCGCCGGAAAGTTGGTAAAATTTCCGTGAAAATACATCCGTAGTGGTTGTTGTTTATCTACGTTCATGGAAATGGATTTGGCTGAGTTTTTGTGAGATTTTCTCCGGGGGAAAACTTTGCGAGTGTCGAGGAATATTCAAGTGCCAAAAAAGAACCTGCGACGAAAAAAGAGAAATTAATCCGTGCTGCAATGGTGTTAGTGGTGCTTCTCGAATTTCGGCACTGTGATTGATAACAAAACACACTGCGTGGAATATAGAATTGACTATTGAACTGAAAAAATACACCACAACGACGACGACGACGACCAGTTTTTTTTTTCACGGTCTAATGCTTGCGTGGAGCTAGGACGATAAGGGGAGCTGCAAATATTAGTTTTTCAACAACCCGAAATAAGCACAAAAATGGTCCGCATCCGGAGGAAGTTTGTGCTCATTCTGTCCGGAGTGACGCTCTTCGCGTTTCTGCTGCTGTATGTCATTTTGAACCATTCGATTCAATCGGAGAAACCGGTAAGGATGGGTCGTACCTAAGTTGTAGGAAGATTTGGGTTACATTTATTTATTTTATTCAATTGGAACAGGCCAGCTTCATGAGGCTGGAGGACAAAATTAAGCAGTTGGAATCGGGACTGAACAAACACCGGCGGGAGTTTGGTGCGATGAAGCAGCAGTTCGATACAATTCGAACGAATGGGCACCATCCGAATTCCCTGGACGGGGACGAGTACGGAGAGGAATCCCGGTTGGATAAGGTTCCAGCGGTGGCAGCTCCGCATCTGGGAAATCGTGAAATGATTAAAGATTCGGTAATCAGTCCGAACCGTGACACGGGAGGGACGTGTTCCCTCCGGACGGATATCATCCCCCAGCCGGACATACAGATGTTGGACATGTATGACAAGATACCGTTCGATAACATCGACGGAGGACCGTGGAAGCAGGGCTGGCGGGTGACGTACGACGAGAAGGAGTGGAATCAACACCACAAGTTGAAGGTCTTTGTTGTGCCACATTCGCACAACGATCCCGGCTGGATCTACACCTTCGATGAGTATTACGAACGACAGACGAAGGGGATATTTGCCAACATGCTGAGGCATCTGGAGGAGAACCCCGGTATGAAGTTTATATGGGCGGAAATTTCCTACTTTGCGACTTGGTATGACAAGCTTGCTCAGGAGCAGAAGGATATCGTAAAGAAGTAACGCTTGTTTGGTCTTGCTTTGTTAAATGTAATCCTCAGGACTCACCCTTGCTTTTCAGGTTAATCAAAAACCATCAGTTGGAATTCGTGACCGGCGGATGGGTTATGCCGGACGAAGCCAACGCTCACTGGTACTCGATCCTGCTGCAGCTTACCGAGGGTCAAACGTGGCTGAAAACTCGCCTCAATGTGACCCCCACGTCATCCTGGTCAATTGATCCGTTCGGCATGTCCGCATCCATGCCGTACATTCTGAAAAAGTCCGGCATCGACAATCTGCTCATCCAACGGACGCACTACACTGTGAAAAAAAATCTCGCCCTAAAAAAGCAGTTGGAATTCCGCTGGCGCCAACTGTGGGACACCACCGGCGAAACGGACCTGCTAACCCACATGATGCCGTTTTACTCATACGACATTCCGCACACCTGTGGCCCAGATCCGAAGGTATGCTGTCAGTTCGATTTCAAACGGTTGCCCCACTTTGGAGTTTACTGCCCATGGCGAGTTCCTCCGCAGCCCATAACCGACGACAACGTTGCCAAGCGAGCCGAACTGATCGTCGATCAGTGGCGCAAAAAGTCCGTTCTCTACAAGACGAGAAGCGTTCTGATCCCGCTCGGCGATGACTTCCGATACACTCAAAGCAAGGAGTGGGAGGCCCAACGGGTCAACTACGAAAAACTGTTCGAATACATCAACAACGAACCTTCGCTGAACGTGGAAGCCAAATTCGGAACCCTGCAGGACTATTTCGATTCGATACGATCGGCGTTGAAGGTCGAAGATTTCCCCTCGCTGAGTGGAGACTTTTTCACCTACGCCGATGTGAACGAAGACTACTGGAGCGGGTACTTCACCTCGCGACCGTATCACAAGCGCCAGGATCGCATACTGCTGAACTACGTCCGCTCGGCGGAGATGCTTTGGGCGTGGAATAGTTGGCCGGACAGAGAATGGCAACCGCTGGAGGAGAAAATGGAATACGCTAGGCAGCAGTTGGCACTGTTTCAGCATCACGATGGGATTGCGGGAACGGCCGAGAATCATGTGGTGGTAGACTATGCCACTCGGATGGCGACGGCCTTGGAGAATTGCAAGCTGGTGATGCAGCAGGCGGTTTACAGGTGAGTGATTGTACATAGAGCGGGAATTGCAAATTGGCGAGATCAGTGAACCTCAGATGTAAGTCCCGAGGACTTAGTTGGCAAATTTGGAAGACGGATAAACTAAAGGATCTCGAAGGCAAAAATATTCAACGCTCGATAAGTTTGTTCAAGTAATGTAAAAACAATGACCTCTTGAGTATGTTCAAAGAACTACGTGATTAATATCTGGAAATTCAAAAGGTAAGTTTAGCTGATCGTGAAGACTGAAGTCTTCACATGCAAGCCCAGAGGACTTAAACCCAGTCTTAATATGCAACACGATAGACCAATTTGAAAAGCTCAGGAACACATTCTGAGGAATATCGAAAGACAAGTTCAGTTGCAGGTGCAAGCCTAGAAGTTCTAGAGAAACTCTAGAAGACAAGCCCGAAGAACTTCTAAGACAAATGCAGATGACTTTGTTGGTGGACATAGCTTTGTGTTGAGCGGTAGATGACGCGATTGTACCTGTCTCATAGCGTTCGTATGAAAAAATGAAAGAGTTACCAGTCTTCTTGATTTGTTGTCTTCGTTTAAACCCAGCTTAACGACCGCTTGAAGCGACCTGTTCTTTCTTTAAATAAAACCTAGTTGCATCTTGTGATTCCCATAACTGACTCCAGTCCGTCTCATCTCTTATCCCCATCTCACAGGCTCCTCACGAAACCCTCGGTCTACCAGGCGGATCCCACCTTTTCCTACCTGAGCATTGACGATTCGCGAACCGTCGACGGAGCCGACACGTTCCGGCCAACGATCATCATCGGCGACGAACTGCCCATCAAGCACGTAGTCGTGCACAATTCCCTACCCTACCAACGCCAGGAACTGGTCGAAGTCTACATCGGGAAACCCTTCGTTACCGTCCAGGACGCCCGAACCGGTCAAACCGTCCCGGCTCAGATCGCACCCGTATGGTCATGGCACGCACGATCCGATGGAACCAGCACTCCGCAGTCATCGACCACCAAGTTCCGGTTGCTGTTCAAGGCTTCCGTGCCCCCCATGGGATTGGTTGTCTACACGATTAATTCACGGAATCGAGTGGATCATAGCAGTGGGGTAACGTACGCCAAAATTACTATCATGTCCCGCGCTCCATTCACGGTCAATTTGAACGGCTACCCGGAGCTGCCAGAGTTTAGTGAACCGCGCAAGATTTCGCTCAAGGTTGCCGAAGGTCCCGGGGCTTCGTTCAACGCGAATGGTCTGCTGAAGTCAATTTCCCTCGATTCGAACACCGTGCCGGTGCATTTGGACTTCCTCCGGTATGGTATGCGCTTCAACTCGGGCAAAAGCGGTGCCTATCTGTTCCATCCGGACGGTCCGGCCACGACGATGAAGTTGGGCGAACCGGTGGTTCTGGTGGTGAAGGGACCGCTGGAGTCGAGTATCACCGCCGGGTTACCATTTGCCACGCATCAGACCATTCTGCGGGAGGATGTCGGCCTTGAGATAAGAAACCTAGTGGATATCGGCGATCGGGAGAATACGGAGATTGTGATGCGATTGTCGACGAACATCGAAAGCGGAGAGTTCTTCTACACGGATCTGAACGGGATGCAGATTATCAAGAGGAAGCGGTTCGATAAGCTTCCGCTGCAGGCCAACTACTATCCGGTTCCGTCGGCGATGTACATCCAGGACGACAGTTTGCGGTTGACGATTGTGAGCGCCCAGCCGCTGGGTGGTGCATCGTTGAAGCCTGGAGAGGTGAGTGGCCTGTGTTAAAGCGTATTTTAGGAAGAATTTCATATTTGGTTTTTCCCCTCAGATGGAAATCATGCAGGATCGTCGTCTCTCGCAGGACGATGACCGGGGACTTGGGCACGGGGTGCTCGATAACCTTCCGGTATTACATCTGTTCCGGCTGGTGCTGGAAAACCGAGAATCCTGTACCAAGCTGGATCCAGGCTATCCGGCAGGATTCCTAACTACAACGGGGTACGGTGAGTTACGATCACTGCTGCATCCGCTGGACAAGTTGATCTTCAATGAGAACGAATGGACGGGGTTGTTGCCCAGTTTCGGTGCCAATCACGAACCTCTGGAGCGGGGAATGGAAGTGGTGGCGATGAGAAATCTCCCGCACGTGCGTGTCGGGAAAGACCGGAAGTCCTCGATTGGACTGGTGGTTCACAGGACCAACTTCGAGGATTGTGGATCGGAAGCCAGTGGAGAGGGCAATGTAAGTCTTTGCATAAAACTACCTACTAATTGAGAAGGATTGGTAACCTGAATTTTCCTTTTCAGCTGAACATCAAAAAGCTTCTCGATCTGGACGACGGTCACGAAATCTACGGTTCGGCGCTGACGCTGCTCCGCAAACAGGAGCCCCTGGTGGCCGACGATGTCAGCTTCTGTCCGATGGACTCGAAGGCCTTCATCATTCAGCGATAAAGCACCTGACTCCCGCAGCCGGAGTATTAGAGCAAAGTAAGTTGAATGCTGCGCTGCTTTCTGATTATGGCGAAACAATACTAGGAGGGGAGTCAGAGGAAACATACGCGCTTATAGAGTGGGGTGGGACGCCGGATTTTCTTTTTCATAAAAGAAACACTAATTTATTGTAGGACGAGATCAGAATCGGCTTCGAATGTTGGTATTTTACCTGATGATCCGCGTGACATTGGAAACCATTTCCGTGCAAGTTTGATGTGTGTGAAAGATTTTGAACGGTTGAGTGTGCGAATGATTTTCGATTTGAGTTCTAGTTCAATGGACGTGTGAAGTTTAAAAAAATATATAGCTACGATTGCACCGTTAGTGTGTAGGACTACAAACAGCATGATACAATTACACGCAAAATTAGATTTTTTTTTCTTTTACCTTACAAGGGAAAGGTTCTGAAATCGAAGAATATTTAGGACATGTGAATTTCCTTTATTCTAGTAGGAGGAATATTTATACCAGTGAGTGCAATTGGACTTTGGTGGGAGCTACATTACTACTCCGGAGACGTGGCGTGGAAGATGAACTTCTACCCTTTGGTTCGCGGAAGTAGACTATTATTGCTAAGGGATTAGGTATGGGATAAGTTCACAATAAATTTCTTACACACAGACGCATTATGATGGCACACCCATATACTTAAGACGATTGTGTATTGATTGAAATGGCAGGCTTCCGGTTTGAATAGTAGGAAATTTGAGAAATCCTTTGGATTGGTAGTTAAGGCAGCTTTCAATCACTTCAACTGAAGACCACCTGGCACGCGCCGGGCAGCTCTACGGCTCTACTCCTTAAACCGCGGAATTTAAGACAAACAACATCAACACGCTGAATTGCGGGAAGACTTTAGGCCACGCTTGACCACGCCGTTGATGGTGACAGATGGATGATGGAGTCAGCTTCAGTCGTTCCAGTTGTTGTCAGGTAGCCTTGGCAATTACCGTGATGTCGCTTGCGGAATCCAGTTGAAGAGAAGCAGCGACGGCGTTGATGATATAGGTCACGCTTTCTGGTGTTGTTTGCAATGTGATTCACCACGAAAATCCCCTAGTTCTGGTACCTAGCTTCGTCTTCCGGAACTGCTTCTTTTCTTGAGATGGACGGGAAAAGTTTCTTGAAGACTTCTTGGCGCAACCACAGTAGCCTTCTTTGTGGCCAATGCGATCACATCATTTGCAGTGGTAATCAGAGAACGGACAATCACGAACGTAGTGCATCTAACCACTCTGTCAGCAAGGAGTTCGAGGAATTGACTAGCCTTCGTTGGACGTTGTTGATTTCTAGGTTTCTTATCCGAGACGTTGGAAATCGTCGATGAGCGTCTGGAGTGTTACCGGCGCTTCTACTGTTTCGCCTTGTAACGAATGCTTTCGTCCTCGCAACCAACAGCAGCTAACGCGCCGCTCTCCGAGGGAGAGGTTATTGAGGCGTTTCTTATACACGACCGAGACTCGTAATCTAGGGCGAGTTTGTAGGTTTTTCCAACATTCAATCTCATGTAACTTTCCCAAACAAGGGGCATTCAATTCCAAAATTCTTCACAACAATCTTAAATTCAAAGCCGAAAAGTGGCTATATTTTTGTTAGAGAACATTTGTATTCAAAATTTACACTGCGTTTTCTTTTAAATTTACTAGCCTACTCTAACTGGTTGACGTCAACATGCTACGGGTTGTTTAGCGTCCTGGAACACTTTATAAGTTTGGTTCTTAATCCTAGGTCTTCTATTAGTTCGGCGACATACTCTCTTCGGTGGGTGGCAGGATACTCCAACGGTGCCGCGCAGCGAGGACAAGCACACAGCCCAACTACACCGCCAAAACTGGTAGATGGCGCACACAGTCTGAGTGCGATGTTTTTACAATGACGTGCTGACTAACGTCCTGCAACGTAACGGCGAGTCGTGGTTGCTAATCACGGTCACGTGGTGGAGTTGCACTCGTTTGTGGAACGTGCTCGAATGTCTGTGTAGCGTGGTGCTTTGAGACCAATGAGCTGGATTACCGAGGTGAAGCAATCGGTTAAGTTGTGTGAGTAAAACCCCTGTACGATACAAGCAATTAGTTGCGTTTACGTTAATTTTTTAAATTACTAAACAACCATATTTCACGATCTGCTTCACTTCTTTCTGTACCTCATTGCTTTGTGACCGCAGACTAAAATCAAGCACTTGAAATAGCCGATTTTCAGTTTTTCAAACTCGAACTCTTCACACGCCTTGTTTACCATACCTGCATAGCTGATAATATGGTGAGTTGACAATCTGGAAGGAGCGGAATACCTAGCCCTGGTCCTCACAAGTTCCCACTTCACGCCTCCCCGAGTCATATGATAACAAAAGACTACCAGCTAAAACATGGACACGGCTGGGTGGCGTAGCCTGGGCAATGTTGCCAGTCCGGCAATAGCAAAGTGAAGAGGTGCGACGCGAACTCTGGCGCGGTAACCATAGTACGGTGATAGAGGAAATGCTTCACCAAACCCAAGCGTCTGTTCACCATGGAGGTGCGGCTCAAAACGGCGTCTGTTCTCCATGTTAGGAGTGGCTGATCACCGTCCTAGTGCCAGCGATGGTCCCCCGGCGAGACAGGGGGTTGGTACAGGCCCAACAAGCCGTCCTTGAAAAAACATAAAGTTACAAATACTGAAGAAAGAAGTACGGATCGGAACAATCGTCACAGACCTACGCGACGAAATAAGGACTACGGTTGGAAATTCGGAACATGGAACTGCAAATCGCTCGGCTTCCCGGGCTGCGATAGGTTAATCTATGACGAACTTCAACCACGCAACTTCGAAATCGTAGCACTGCAGGAACGTTGCTGGACGAGACAAAAGGTATGGAAAAGCGGGCATCGAGCGGCTACTTTCTACCAGAGCTGGGAACCGGCTTTGTAGTGCTTGGTAAGATGCGCCAACGCGTGATTGGTTGGCAACCGATCAACGCGAGGATGTGCAAGTTAAGGATTAAGGGTCGTTTCTTCAACTACAGCATCATCAACGTGCACTGCCCACACGAAGGGAGACCCGACGACAAGAAAGAAGCGTTCTATGCGCACCTGGAGCAGGTTTACGACGGCTGTTCGCAACGGGACGTCAAAATCGTCATCGGCGACATGAACGCTCAGGTAGGACGGGAGAAAATATATTATTAACAATATGATCCACTCTTTCGCTTAGCTGACGAACCGAATTTTTAGCGATGGAAGCACCTCTGTGGCCAAAAAGGCTACCAATGTATTTGTTTATCGTAACGAGGGGTAAACCAATTGAAAATTTGTTTAATATTTCAAATGAATGTATTTCAGCATTTTATTTTATTTGATGACAACAGTTACAAGTCAGACAAATTTTAAAGTAATATACACAATGTAATTAATGAAAATTATTTGACTCTTGCTTTTGTAATAAGTGCTATATTTGCACCCCAATCGGGCCAAGCGGCCTGCATGCCGCATCGAACGACAACGGCCAACGATGCGTGAACTTTGCAGCCTCTTGGGGTATGGTAGTTCGAAGTACCTTTTCCCCCCGCAAGGATATCCACAAAGCCACCTGGAGATCACCTGACCAACACACAGAAAACCAAATCGTTCACGTTCTAATCGACGGGAATTTCATCTCCGACATTATCAACGTCCGCACGTACCGCAGTGCCAACATAGATTTGGACCACTACCTAGTTGCAGTATGCATGCGCTCAAAACTCTCGACGGTGCATTACACCCGTCGAAGTCGAACGCCGCGACCCTACATTGAGGAACTATGGGACGCCGCAGTTGCCCAGAACTACGCGCAGCAGCTGGAAGCTGCACTACCCTCGGAAGAGCAGCCTGGCGCAGCTTCGGCGAATGCAAACTGCTAGTAGAGGAGAAGAATGCAGCACGGGCGAGAATGCTGCAACACCGCACGAGATTGAATGTGGAGCGATACAGGCAAACGCGGAACAGACAAAACTAGGTTTTCCGAAGGAAGAAGCGTCAGCAGGAAGACCGAGATCGCGAGGCGATGGAAAATCTGTACCGCGTAAACGACACACGGAAGTTCTACGAGAAGCTAAATACATGTGAGGTTTTTTTTTTTTTTTAATTCTTTATTTAAGAGATTTTTAGCCTTAGGCTAGTTCATCTCTAGTCAGTTGTTGAGGTCTCAGAAGGAGAACCTCCTACGGAGTTGTTGGACATAGTAGGCTTAAAATGAGTTTCTCCTGACAATGCCTGGGGGGAAAACCTTCATGAGGGCCAGAAGACTCATCCCATGTGATGCCCCTCCGGCTGCTGAGGCTGTAAGGTGACAGCTCTCCTGGCTCTTCACGAAGACGACAACAAGTTCAAAATGAATAACACAAAACTGAACGAGACGACACCGTGACGAGGTCCAAAGGCTCATCCCGTGCGGTGCCGTCCCGACAGTCAGAAGAAATTAAACATATAAACAAATGAACGAGTATACAAACGAATATAACAGCTATGGCTTTCCTAGATCTCATGGTATAGGTTAGCTTCCCTGAGGAAAACTAGCAGGGCGTCTGCAGCGGCTGAATCCTCTCCGAGTAGGTTCCGGATGCTGGAGGTGATCCCATAGGATTCCCTGAGGTCCTGGAATTCAGGACAGATGCAGAGGACGTGTTCAACGGTGGCCGGGAGATGGCAGATGGCACAGCTTTTGCGGAAGGGACCTCCGCCGCCGAAGTTATAGTAAAACCGACAGTGGCCAGTCCTCAGCCTTGAGAGCACTCTCTGATCCCGGAGGTTTGGGAGGTCCGTCCATGCCTCCGTGGTTCCTTTGATCTTCCGGATGAAAGGTTCTCGAGTGCTGAACCACTGGTCGGCCCAGGCTTTCTGTACGGTTGTTTTGATCCATCGCCGGAGATCTGGAAGGGGGACTTTGTCCGTGAATCTCGGACCCGCCGGTCCAGTTCCAGCGAGTTGGTCTGCTGCTTCATTAGCAGGTATTCCGCAATGACTGGGGATCCATGTAAAAATGGTGCTGCTCGGGGCGTATTCGATGGTAGCTTGAATCCACGGGTGGGTGGGAACTGCTGAAGCTAGCTCTTGGATAGCACTGAAGGAATCAGTTAGTATTACGATTGGCTGGTTTGCTGGTGACGTGGCCGCATGGAAGATTGCGGCCGCTTCGGCCGAGTAAACGGAGCATTGTTGTGGTAAGCTGCTGCTAGCGAGTATGCCACTTCCGGATACTCCGATGCCAACGCCCGTGTTGGATCGGGAACCATCGGTGTACCGGTGAGTGTGTTCGGCGTAATGGGTTCGGAGGCGTTCGATTACTGTGCGACGGAGGGCCGCGGAGTTGTCTCCTGCTTTAAATCGATTTTTTATGTGATAGTCAATATGAATGCTGGAAGAGAGCCAGTTCTTCTCTCCGTGCCAGTGGGTCCTAGCCACTGGGGGGAGGTCAATGCTGGCGATCGTCTGCAGGATTCTGTCCCCCTCGTCGAGGAGGAAGATTCTGCCGTTTCCTGCTGTCTTGGCGGCGAAGGATGCAGCTTTGAAGATGGTAGCGTTAATGATGCGGTACCGAAAGGGTAGAACCCCTGCTTCAACACAAGCGGAATCAGCGGGGGTGGAAGGTAGAAGGCCAGAGATTATCCTGATGCTGCTGTTGAAGGTTGGACCGAGGATC